ATGAGACTAAGCAGGAAATCACTCAAGATACAGAAGCTAGAGTGATACAAATGTCAAGCAATGGATCAACCTGTTTGCCAGATAGATCAGGTAGGATGTAATTAGTGAAATCAAGAGATGAGATTGATGAAAAGTTCTAAGCCAATAATTTAGCTTTGTCTTTAGTTGAGGTAACAAAATAACCATGCAAGAAATAAATAACAAGCTTGCCATTATTATAGACACAGTTAAAGAACCTCCAGAAATCTCTGAAGCCTAATTTTTGAGATAAAATACGAGATTTTGTGACCTTAGAATAACGGGCTTTAGCATTAGACAAAACCTTTTTACAATGGTTTCTAGTAATAGTAAACAGACATCTGTTTTCTGGAGAATTATTTTGGCAATAGATATGGAAGTAATGGTTATGATTAGAAACTGCAGCAGCACAATGAGAGGAAAACCATGGAGAAAAGCAACACTAGACTTGAAATAATCGAGAGGAAATAAAAGATTCTATGCCAGCTTGAATCAAAGAAGTTATGTAAGAAGCATATTTGTCAGCAGGAGCACAAAAGATTTCTACCATCACAAATAAAATCAAAGTCCCAGTCTTCTTTAATGTAGTTGTAAGAGGTACAATGATAGGGGGATTTTGATGATAAAGAAGAATGAGATAAAAGTTTTAGAAGGATCAAACTGTGACCAGAAGCACCTAAAGGTGAATGTGGAGAAACTGAGGTCTTACTATGATTAGAAACAAGACATAAGTAGAGTAGAGAAGGTAAATGATTTAGATTGTCTGGAAAGCAAGTTGGAAAGTTGACTTTTTTTATTAGAGATTGAGAAAGGCAAAAGTTGTGGGCCTTAACGCCTGCAAAGTCACTGACACTTGAGCAAATCTACTCAGTTTGGTGAAAAATAAAGTTGCCAACAACTATAATATTGGCTAAACGATAAATGAGAAAAGGACTTGTCAATTTGATCAAAAATAACGTCGAAAAAAATGCTTGAGATAAGAAGAGATAAGAAGAGCGATATTTTGAGATAAGGAGCAATATCTTGAGATAAGGAGAGCGATATAGTTTTGAGATGAGAGCGCTTTCTTTATAAGCAGGAGATCCAGGTTTGAAACAAGCTCTTATATAGAACAAAGAGAAAGGTGATAGAGTGAAGTGGTGCTAAACAAAAGTACATAAAAAATATTCTGTAGATTCAATTCTATTGGAGTCTTTTCAAATTAAAGGAAAGTAACCATTAACACTATGATCACTAGATGAGACAGTTAAACACAAATCAGCCTCACAAATAGCAAGTAGATCTGGTGAACGTTGCAAGAGATAAGACTTGAAAGAAGAAAAATTACTTTGAAGACCACAAATATTAGTAAATGATAGATTTAGAGATTATATATTTTATATATTACAATTTTTGAAAATTTTAAAAAATTATTTTAGGTTTTTTTTTTCTTATTTTATGCGACTGTAATTTAATATTATTTTAATTAAATACAGAGTTAAAATTAAAGAAAAAGAATGCAATAGAATTCTGAGTTTTATATTTTTCATGTAATGTTATTTGTTTGTTTAATGTTATTAAATTTAGAAAATTTTAAAAATGTAATTATATATATATTTTTTTGAAATTTGATTTGCAGAATCTTAATTTTTTCTTTTTTTTTTTTCACTAACACATCACATAAAAATATCACAACACACTCCAACACATCTAACACATCACAACACACTCTAACACATCACAACACTCTCTGATATATCACATCACACTCTAACACATCACAACACTCTCTGATACATCACAACACACTCTAACACATCTAATACACTAACACATTACTAACAACAAGTCTAAAAAACATTTTTTTTGCCAAAAAATCTAAAAAAACAAAAGCATAAAAGACCTATGCAGGTTTCCAGTATAAGAAAGATTTTTCTGATGCTGGAACTTTATTATTTTTTTTTTATTTTTCATCATTTTCTAATAAAAAATTTCAAATAAGATCAGTATTTAATAAAAAAATAAATTAAAAATTAAAAGAAAAATGATGAAAAAAAACTAAAAAATTGTTAACATTTTTATACGTAAACACTTCCTGTCCAAATAATCACCTACCAGAAGATATAAATACATTTACGACTTACTTTCATCATTATTAACTAATTTCTAAAAAATAAAAAAAACGTAAAAAATAATAAATAAAAAAAAAACCTTTTATTGCGAGTAATACTTGCTAGATGTGAAGATTTATTACCAGGAGCAGCACATGCATCAATTATCATAGAACCCATTGGTGGATTTAAAATAAAAGCTGGCAAGCAACTAGCCTAATAAATTACATAAAAAGACTTACGATTTTGCAATTTTATTTAACAAAAAAAAATATGTTTTTCTGAAAACAAAATCAACACTTTAAAAAGTAATTTTTAGAAAGCCTTAAAAACAACAAAATATTCAGAAAGCATTAAATACAACCCTCTAACAACACTTTAACTAAAATTGGCAGAGCAACAAGTTAAATAGAGTACTACCAGGAAATTCTTTTCATTTACAAAGAAAGCACTCTATCACTACACCACTACTGCATTTATGGAAGGCAGTATTGGATGTATGGAAGACAGTATTGGATTTATGAAAAGCAGTATTTGATTTATGGAGAGCAGTATTGGATGTATGAAAGACAGTATTGGATTTATAAAAGACAGAATTAGACTTTTGATAATAAAAGATAAAAAAAAAAAATTCAATCTTATTTAAAAATAATAAAAAACAAATAAACCTTATCTTGCAATAGTATTTCGCCATTTATATACATCAAATTTTTATGAAAATCGGTTCTACTTTCAAAGACCAGTAAATCAGGGATATCTTTATCTACACAAAATTCATTTACACTGAGGTCGTTATACTTCTAAAATAAAAGTATAAAATAAGTTAGAATTTATAATACTATGAACAGTGAACACTCTATATAAGCA